GGCCCACCATCATCCACTCCAAGCAAGTACCAGTTGATCTTGGACAGCTAAAGGAATGCTTAAAAAGAAACATTAGCAAGCCCCCCCCCAAGTCCCCCAAATTCTATTACATATCAATTGTTTCTTCAAAAGAACGATGTTGGGAACAAAGTTGATGTAACCAAATACTCAACAAGAAGCAACTTGAGGAAGGAGACATTTACTATGACTCACAGTTTGAGAAGATACAGTCCATTGTGGCCGGGAAGACATGGCAGCAAGAATGGGAGGCAGCTGGTTCAGCTGTGTGTGCATTCAGGAAACACAGTAGGGTGACTGCTGGTGCTCAGCTTAACCTTCTCTTTATGCTGCTCAGGACCCCAGAGACCAGTTTGGTGGCTCTAGATGTTATTAATGCAACCGTCAATATCAACGATTACAGTTGTGTGTCATGTAGTGCTGTGTGTGGGAGACCCTACTCCATGAAACCCTCCGTAATCCACAGCCATTCTCCGTGAACTATCTCACTGCTTCATCTCAATGTGCTGCTGCTTCCATGGGGTCAGTGTGTGACTCCTCATCCCAATGGGTCTCACCCCTTTGCACTGTCTTGCTCAGCTCAGGTCCAAACTTTCGTTGTATGTATAGAGGCTTCCCTAGTTCTTGCAGTTCAAACACAGTATTCCCTCATTACCACAGTTTCCCGTACCGGGCCTTTATTAATGTCCCCATGTGCATGCTGAATCATGGATTCGCCATTCTCTCTTAAAGCTCAAACAAGGATATCTTCTATAGTTTCTATCACGTTCCTCCTCACTCTCTGATTCTCCCCAAGGGTTCTGTGTTTTTGGATCCTTGGAAGAGCTCTTTAGCATCGATATAATTTACACCCTTTGCCTTTAGTTCTGCAAGCTGTAAGAAGGATTAGCCAGCTACTTAATCTCATCCCCCCAACTTCCCACTTTTCCAACAGAGGCTACTGAACAGGACAGTGTCTGCATGTCTCTTCATCACTGAGATTCCTCCCTTACATGGGGCAAGCTCCCCCCCCCAAAGATCACATGACTCAGTCACATGCTTTATCACACACACACACACACAGGCCATGTAGAAACTACCACAGTCCGTTATGATTCTGTCCCACACTTAGTACTTCCAGGAATCAAAGTCCATTTTCCAATTCATCAGCTGTTGTGGAGTGGAGGGAGCATCCCCATGTTTGCATGGCAGACTCCATTTATCAAGGAGGCATACCACCCCGTATCATGCAGAAGAAGATGGTTACCTTGGGATTTCCCCCCAGGGATGTTCTGCTTTCAGATGGTTTGGCTTTGGTTGCATGTTTTATTGCCCATTACAGGAAAGAGGTAGACTATCCTAAGGTAGGCAGAGAGGGAGGGGTTGCTTCTGCAGATGTGCCATTGGTCGTCTTCAGTTGCATTTATTTATACTTTCTGATCTTACCAGGAAAACACACACACACACACACACACACACACACACACACACACACACACACACACACACACTACACACACAAATATTAAAGACAGGCCTCCTATTCAATATGCAGTTGAAAAATAACAACCTTGAACTTCCGATCCTCCTGCTTCTACCTCTGGAGTGCTGGGGTTACAGGTGTGCACCACGACACACCTATGTCTTTAAAATGGTACATTGTGGAGAGTCCTGGGTTCTAGCATTTAAGACTTCTGTATGGGAGAGGCTGAGCTACTTTGGAGGCATGAATTTAATGCTGACTACCAATACTCTGTCCCTAAACTTCTGCATATTTGCAGCCAGCTGCATCAGGAAGTGGGCATGTGGGCATTTGGAGCCTTTTGTCTCCTCCGGACTCAGCCTCTAAATGTCCTTTAAAAATATTTGCTGAATCAATCATTGTTGGGCAACTTTGGAGTTGGCCGCCCTTACAAATGATATTCTGGGCAGGGCTTGTTAATGAGCACCACTCTGTCTCTGGGTTTGCTGATGTGTGTTCTTGGCACCTGAGAGCAGAAGGCAGGCCCTGGACTCAGTTGCCTGTTGACCCTTGGTTGTCAGGAGCAATGGCGAATGTTTCTTTAGGACGGCCCGGGAAGATGCTGCTTATGCTTTCTCATCTTACCGGGAAGGCTCACAGCCACAGCCTGAAGTTCCCTGATCTGCCTCTGCATTAGTGACTAGAGTGATAGCTCAGGCAGCGGTGGCCATGGCTCCCAGACTCCCCGGGGGTAGTTGTCTTTGGGTGACAAGTCACTGTGTCACTCTCGACAAGTAAAAATCACGAGGGCTTCTCTAAATATTGACAGCGTGGGCTTCTTTTTGGAATGCTTGGCTCTTTTGTGTGTGTGCACTCATGGGCAACTGAATATATGGGGTGAGTGTGCATGGAACATGGAACATGTATGCAGAGGACAACCTTTGATGTTGTTCCTCAGGTGCTTTTTTTTTTTTTTTTTTTTGAGGCAGGGTCTCTTATTTGCCTGGAACTTCGCCACATTATCCAGGATAGCTGGCCAGGGAGCTTCCAGAGCGCTCTACCTTGCTTTGCCTTGGGCATCTCCCACCCCATGTCACTCACCACTGTGGGATTCCAAGTGGTGAACCACTGTGCTCGACTTTTAAGGTTGGTTTTGGGGGTCTGAACTGAGGTCCTCACACTAGCAAAGCAAGTGCTCTACCCACTGAGCCATTCCCAAGCCTGGGCACTCAGCTCTTGGTTGGCCAAGATCCTAGGGGACGGGAGCCCAGGGTTTGGGTTCTGAAGTTGGCTTTCATGCTGCAAGCACTCAGAGAAAGAAGCAAGGTGGCATGTGCACATGGTGGGGCCTGCAGCTGGTTTCTATTATTATTATTATTATTAATAATAATAATTATTATTATTTCTTCTTGTTCATATTCTTCAACTTTTAGACAGGGTTTCATTTTGTGGCCCTGGCTGGCCTGGGACAGTAGATGAAGCTGGACTTGAACTCACAGAAAACCCGCTGTCTCAGCCTCCCGGGTGCTGGGATTAAAGGCGTATGCTATCAAGTCATGCTTTGCAGTTTCTTAACCGTTCCAAGGGTTGGCTTGTACTCCCCACTCCCCACCGCAATGTGCCCAGGAGCTCAGACTCCCCACTGTATAGGGACAGAGAGAACCCAGCCCTGTTTGGGGACCTGCCCAAGCCCAGTCTCCCCCCTCAGGCCCTGCTTTCTGGGAGCTGACCGCACAGCGCAGCAGGAACAATACCCTTTCTATTCAGATCGGAAGGCTGCCCTTTAGCAATCCAGCCAGTAACTCAGCTCCTGTCCCGCGGAGGAGGCTAGCATCGCTTTGCCTTACCAGGGGGAGGCGGCTAACAGCCTCGCCAGGGCTAATGGTCAGGTGAGCTAGCTGGGTGGGGGAAATGTACCCTCAGCGCCCCACTCCGGCCAAGCAAGGCTTGCAAAGAGTTCGGGTAAATAGTGAGAGGCTGGGTGGGGTTGTAGACAACAATGGCCGGAAAAGCTTGTACTTGCCTGCAGTACTTGCTTCGGAAACCCCTCCTGGTCCTTCAGAGAGGCTGGCTAGCCAAGGCACAGGAACAGGGTTGGGCTGGGGACAGGGTGGGGGAGCAGGCGCCACTTGTTGGAGTTGATTTTGATGTAGTCTGAGATTCCAACGCTTGGGTAGGTTAAGGCACTGAAGCTAGGCACCAGAGACCCGTGGTCTCGTGGCATCCCTTTGGTGACTTTCATATTGAGGTTATTTTATTTTGTGAGACCGAGTCTCGTGTGTCCCAGGCTGGCCTTGGCTCACAATGTAGCTAAGGGTGATTTTGGACTTCTGATCTAGCTTCCCAAGTAGTGGGATCACAGACTTGGTTTTTATGCCATGATGAGGGCTGAACCCAGGGCTTCAGGAATGTTAGAGGCGCACTCCACCAACTGAACCACATCCTTGGCTACAGAATGGGTGATTTTAGTGTCACCTTGTAGATGCACAAACCTGGGCTCTAGCGGTCAAGGGCATCACTAACCCAAATATGGCCCATTCCAGCACACGTTAGATTCTAAAGCAGCAACTGCTTGATTCCCTAGAAACTTGACAAGGTAGAGAAGGGAGATGGGGCAGCAGGGTTTAGGGTGTCCCCACAGTAGCTCAGAGGGTTAACCTGGGCTTAGGAGGGAATCTCGGAGTCCCTGAGGAGAGAGATCAGAAGACATGGCTCCTATACATGTTGCCCAAGGGCCACCTGGCTGGAACAGAACTGTAAAAAGCTAGAGAGAGAGAGAGAGAGAGAGGGCAATGGGCAGTGGACATAGGGTCATTGGCATTAAGGACCAAGTGTCCCCAGAGAAGGAGGTGGAGGAAGAAGTGTGGGAAGGAGAGCCAGGGAGCCATAGTCACAGGTGGGCAGGGTGAGGACCTGGGAGCATGCGGAGGGAAAGATCTTCGGAGGCTGACGTCACTCAGGTTCTTCGGAACTTCCTGCCCAGTTTGACAGGGATTCTAAAGGACTGAGCCCCGAAAAAGGTGTTTGTGGGGCTGAAGAAATGACTCAGTTGATACAGTGCTTACTGCGCAAGCAGGAGCACCAAAGTTCAGATCCCCAGCACCCATCTTTAAAAAAAAAAAAAAAAGCTGGCCTCTTGTCTGGGACCCCAGCACCAGGGAGGCAGAGACAAGCAGATCTCTGGAGCTCACTGGCCAGCCTAGCTGAACTGGTGAGGCCCAGGTCCAGTGAGAGAGTCTGTCTAAAAAATAAGGTGGAGAAGAAAACATCTGACCTCAGCCTCTGACCTCCACACCCACAGGAACACAAGTGTGCATGCTTGTGTGCACACACATCATTTTTGGCCGAGAACAGAGGCAGCGGGAAGGCACTGGGGAGGCAGCGCTGACTCAGATGTTATCTGCTATCAGTGGTTATCTGCAAAGGGACTGCCGTATGCTGGTTCTTCTTCAGGGGCCCAGCGCAGGCCGGCACAGGCCTAAGCAATCCCACTGCTCAGGTAGGGACCTGTGGTTCACCTGCACGTGACCAGCTGGAATGGAGTCCTCTCAGGTCAACTTTGGTTGTGTCTGGTATGAACTGTGGGGCCGGGGTACAGGTGACCAGGGGACTGAGAGTGACCTCAGGGTGGAGATAATGAACAATATGACCAAGGCACAAGGAGGGATGTGGGCTCTGTAAAGACACTTAAGCTCCAGCAAGATCCCAGGAATGTGCATACACATGTTTATGCAACGCCTGCTTTTGGCTTTCTTTGAACTTCTGGTTCGTACTTCATGCCAGTTCTCTGTTGTGACAGGTGTGACATGCTTGAACTGTTCTTGATAAAAGGAAACCGAGCCGCTGGACCAAAGGGGCATGACAAAGGCTTCTAAAAAGGTGTTACCTCTGACAGGTTTTGGATGGATTTGGAGATTCGGATAGGAACACGCCCCCTTGGCCTTTCCCACTTCTCCGCTCTCTTCTCCCTTCTGCTTTTCTTCTTTTTCCTTTTCGGACAGGGTCTCACGTAGTTCAGGTAGGTCCCCAACTTGCTATGTCGCCGATGATGACCTTGATCCTCCTGCCTCCACTTCCTCGGTTCTGGGATTACAGGGGTGAGCCACCGTACCCAGTATTACGTAGACCTAAGGATCCAGTTCACGACTTTCTTGCACACAAGGCAAGCACTCTGCCAACTGAGCCATATCCTCAGCTCCTGGAATATGTTTGTGATGGTGAAAATGCATCCCGTGTACAGCTGTCCAAGGCAGCGTGTTAATTTTCCAGTGTTCACATGATGAGGACTAGGGCCGTCTCTGTGTCAAACCCTGTTTATTGTGTGCAGCCCGGTGACCTCTGATGCTGATGTGGCCAGGGAGACAGGCCAAATCATTCCAGAGCTGGCCGCGGCTGGTGAGAGGAAGCTTCCACTGGAGCTTAGACTGTGCCTGCTGCACAGGGAGCCTCTCTTTACCCCGAACCTGGCTCGTGCCTGAAATAGTGCAGACACTCAGCAAAGACCCAGTGGCGGAGGCAGGAAGTAGCTTGTGCGAAACACAGATTCTCCAGGTACTGTCTTTTATAGACGGTCGATGTTGGACTCATTTTACAGACGAGGCTACTAAAGTTCGCAGGACTTTGATACATGGGCTAGGGATGTAGTTGGTAGAGTACTTTCCTAGCATACATGAAGCCCTGGGTTGATTCCCAGCACTCAGAAGGTAGAGACAGGAAGATCAGGTTTAAGATCTGGCTAAGACATTTGCCAAACCCGATGACCAGAGTTCAGTCCCTGGGTCCCACATGGTGGAAGGAGAGAACCAACTCCTGCCAGATGTCCTCTGAGCCTCATACATGGTGACAAGGTACAGGAACACACACACACACACACACACCATAAATAAACAAATGGAAAAAAAGAAAAGAAAAAAACCCTTTGCTTTAGACAGGGTCTCACTACATAACCCTGGATAGCCTGAAACTCGTTGTATAGACCAATTTGACCTAAACTCAGAGATCCACATGCCTCTGCTCCCCTCAAGTGCTGGGATTAAACGGGGTGTGCCACTATGCCAAGTTCAAGAAGAACTTTTTAAAGAAGTCCCATCATCCTTCTTCCCAGGCCCCCTCACTCATGTGCAGGGATTGGAGAGGAGGAAGAAACTGTTTCGGATGGCCAGGCCTGTGTGACGCCCTGGGAGATAAGGGGACAGGAAGAGGTACGAGTCTAGTCCCAGGTGATCCTCAGCAGGCCTCCACCGCTGTGCTTCAGTGTCTTTGGAGCAGAGGGCATCCCCCGTCTCATCCCAGACTGCCCTATAAGCTTAGGGATGTCTTGTGATAATTTAGCGTGTGTCATCTGTCCAGAGTATGAACGTTTGGAGCGCTGGGGGTGAAGGTTGAGGAAAGGGAGCAGGGTGGTACGCATGCTCAGCTCTGGGTTTGGTTCTTAGAAATGTGAAGTTCTGTGCTCTGAGGGTGGGGCCTGGCTGTCTCCTCAGAGGATAGCTGGACAGGCTGCTCTCTGCTGTAGGGCTGACTGTGTGAAGGAGGGCATGGAATGTCCATCCATCTCCGACCCTCTGCCCTCTGGCAGGGAGTACAGGAGGCCACAGGCCTTCCCCGAACACCAGTTGGGGAGCTCTGAAAAGCACCCAGAGCTACAGTACAATGACAGTTCTCTTTATGCCGTTTGAGATCTGCTTAGCCCTGGACTGTGTGCAGATGTGCTATTACACCCTTAACCTTGGTATTGGTCCTCACCTTCCACGTTGGGCACACCAGCTTAGCTGGCCTGCAAGCTCCTGGGAATTCTCCTGTCCCTGTCTCCCACCTCCCGATAGGAACTCGAGGACTGCAGACACTTGACATACTGTCTTGTCTTTTACATGGATTCCAGGGATTCTAACTCGGGTCCTCAGAGTTGCGTAGCCATGTGGCAAGTGGCTTTACCCACTGCGCTGTCTCCCCAGATCTTCACCTTTGTGTGTGTGTGTGTGTGTGTGTGTGTGTGTGTGTGTGTGTGTGTGTATGTGTGTGTGTGTGTGTGTGTGTATGTGTGTGTGTGTGTGTGTGTGTGTGTGTGTGTGTGTGTGTGTGTGTGAGAGAGAGAGAGAGAGAGAGAGAGAGAGAGAGAGAGAGAGAGAGAATGTCTCACATTTCCCTGGCTCTCACCCAGGTAGGCTAGCTTGGCAGGCCAGTGAAATGCAGAGAAGTGCTTGTCTCTGCTTCCCTGGCACTGGGACTCTAAGTGGGTGTCAGTATGCTTGGCTTTGTGTGTTTGTGTGTGTGTGTGTGTGTGTGGACTCTGGATCTGGAACTCAGGTCTTCAGGCTTGTGTGGCAAACACTTCACTGACTGAGCAGAGAAAGGCCTCTGCTTTCTCCCAGATCCAGCTTTAGATATGTCAGGCATCACGGTGGGGAGGTCATGGTGGAAGAGCCAGGTGTGAAGACATGGGCTTCTATCCCAGCACAGTGGGGAGGCACAGAGAGAGCCAGGTGTATCCTTGGTGCCTGCTAATCAGCCGGCCTAGCCTACCTGGTGAGTCCCATGTCAGTGAGTGATACTGCCACAAAAAAAAAAAAAAAAAAAGTGTGGATGGTGCCTGAGGAACAACAGCTGAGATCGCCCTCTGGCCTGCAGCCCTGCAGGTCTCCTCCCCCATACACATGTAGGTACAAAATTTCATGTTTTAAGGACGTTTACAACTTTGTGCTGTGTTTGTCGCCGTTAAAGGTTGGATCCACCTGAATGCTTGAAGCAGGGACATGTCCCTGGGCAAACCCTGCAAGTCTGCTGCCCAGTGCTGACCTTCTTCTCCTTCTGTCCCCTCTAGCAACATGTCTGAATGCTTGGCCGATGCCATGTGCCAGCGCTGCCAGGCCCGGTTTGCACCCACAGAGCGCATTGTCAACAGCAATGGGGAGCTGTACCATGAGCACTGCTTCGTGTGTGCACAGTGCTTCCGGCCGTTCCCTGAGGGGCTCTTCTACGAGGTGAGGAGGCTCCAGGTAGACACCTGTTCTTGAGGAGTCCATGGCTGCTCTGTGACCGGGCCAAGCTCTGAGGTAGCAGAGCTGTGTGTCATGCATGGTGTTGGCCCATCCCTCACCCGGGAACTTCTGGAGTCAGACTCCCCTGGACAGGTTCCGGGCGGGTCCCTGAGTAGGAAGAACCCCACCATGGTGCTTGTTCCCCATTGGGTCAGATAGTAAATGCAATGGCTGGGTGATTCCATTATCTGGAGGGTGCTTTAGAAATAAGGATTCTTGTGGTTGGAGTTGGGTAACCAGGTGATGTTTGATGAGGCCGGAAGAGAAGGGACACACACACACACACACACACACACACACACACACACACACACACACACACTCCTCGGCAGGAGAAGATCTTGGCAGAAGGCACAGCATATGTACTGAAGTGGAAGTGTGTGGGAAATTTGGGAAGAGGCTGGTGTGGTAGAAGTGGAAGTCTGGGGATGAGCCGGAGAGTGGCAGGCAGTAGACAGAGACTCAATCTTTCTATCTTAGTGGCTCTCCTTTGGGGTCTTGAGCTTCTTTTCTGTAAGAGATTGGAGTCACCGGGGTTTGGAACAGAGGAGTCACACCATTGCCCAACACGTGAAGAAGACCTCTCTGATTCAAGGCATGTGACATGCGCCTGTAACACCAGATCGTGGGAAGCTATGTAATGGGACTGTCTCAAAAACAAAGTGGAAGGCAAAGAGAGGCTCCGGGCATTGTGCCATACAGAGCCTGGGAGTCAGCTGGGAGAGAAGCTGGGGTACCAGGTGAGACCAGGAGTGGGGTCATTGAATATGGAGATAGTTCAGATAAAAGTAAAGGGCTCTGAATTGCCCACGCCAGCTCACAAGAGCAAGTAGTTAAGTCCTTTCTAAACATGGCTGCTGTTAAAAAGAAACTCATGCACGGGGTGGCCGAGGAAATGCCTTGGTCATCAGAGTTCTCGACTCACATTGTGAGCTCTTGAGTTGAATCCCCTGAACCAATGTAAAAAAACGGGGCACTCTAGCTTGTGCTGGAGTCCCACACTGGGAAAGTAGAGAGACAGGTGGGGGCCTGAGGCTCACAGGCCAGTCAGTCAGTCTAGCTTATTTGCTGAGCCTATCATAGGCTGGTGAGAGACCCTGTTCCCAAAAGCATGGGTGGGGTGCACCTACATATACATAAACACACACATAGTAAAATATATCGGTGTACAGGGATATAGTACTTTATTAAAAAATGAAGATAACAAATACTTAAAATGTCCTACTTCCCATTATTTCGTTAGACTTTCACGGCATTTATGTGTCTGAGATTATTTCTGTCTGTGTGGTAATAAAAATTGCCATGGTACCAGCCTGGCAGTGAGATTCACACCACAGCATCTGGCAGACCCAGAGTCAGGGCCTCTGTTGCCTCCCCCCCAGAGTTGGTTAAAACACTGACAGCACTCCACTGGGCTAGAGTGGAGGGGGGACCAGAGCTCAGAGGGAGCTGTGCTCTCTTGGAGGGGCTGACTGCATCGTGGGTTGACTGATGTGGGTCATGTCAGATGAGGATCTCCTTTTGCTTTCCAGGCTCCTGAGAGATGCTGGCCGGCTGTAGAGGCAGCAGAGCATTGGGAAGAGCTCTGCGGGGGGGGGGGGGGGGGGGGGGGGGGGGGGGGGGGGCGGGGGGCATTAGACCAGAACCAAGCAATGCACACAGTGGGTGTTCGGGAGATATTGCTGCTGAGGGACTTCAAGCCTCTGCAGTTTCTCTGGCTCCCTGGGAGAGCTGCATGTATAGTTTTAGGAGAAGGGAGCTTTCCAGGATGACTTTGAACTTCTGGTCCCTCCGACTTGCATCTTTCAAGTGCTGGGATTACAGACAGGCATCCCCACACCTTGTTCATGCAGTCCTGTGAACAGAAGCAAGGGCTTCCTGCATGGTATGCAAGCCCTCTACAAACTGAGCTACATCATCAGCCATTTTTTTTAAAGAAAGTAAATTGTTAAGGGAGAGGAAGGCTGAGGCAAGCTTTGGTCACGCTTGGAGACAATTCATGACAGCCTCTGACCGCAGCACTGGGGCGCTTTTCTTTGTCACCCAAATTCCTCAGGCCCTTCCTGTGTTCTCTTTCTTCCCTCTTCCTGCTATGGGCCTTCTATAGCCTCCGGGGACACTGACCTGGTCAGACATGGAGGACAAAGTGGCACATGTGACTCAGATTTGACCTGGTCTGCCCCAGCCCCAACTCCCACCTCAACTTGGCCTATAGTCAGGATCCTCGGGTCCTCAACAGGCAGCAGAATCCCCAAGAGCAGCCTCGGACCCGACCCGCAGCATCTCTGTGAAACACTCACTTTGCACTCTGCTAAACTGCCTGGGCCGGTCCCTGCTCCAGCTAGCTTGAGAAGGCTCGCTTCTCTGGACCCCATTCCCTCATTATGTATTAGGAGCAAAGGACTGTGGAGATGATGAATGACTTGCTTGTCTTTTGTCTGTGGCCCCATTTGCAGTTCGAGGGCCGGAAGTACTGCGAACATGACTTCCAAATGCTGTTTGCTCCATGCTGCGGATTCTGTGGTAAGAGCTGGTGACGCCACCTGGGAAGTGGGGAGGGGGGCAAGTAGGAAACAGGCAGTACTGGCACACTACTTAACCTGGGGACTTTTACTTACCACCTCATTCTATCTCTCTGAGTGAGCATTGCTCTTCAGGTCCCTAAAGGAGGGGTGCTTGGACAAGGCTAAACTGGGAGGAGCCTACACAGGACTTGGGAGGTGCCGAAGGGTGAGGCGTCCCCTGACTGACAGCTGAGGTCTCTCCTCTTCTAGGTGAGTTTGTTATTGGACGCGTGATCAAGGCCATGAACACCAACTGGCATCCAGGCTGCTTCCGCTGTGAGCTGTGTGACGTGGAGCTGGCTGACCTGGGCTTTGTGAAGAATGCAGGCAGGTGAGGCAGCTGCAGTTGTGGGCAGAGAGGAGGGTCTCTTGCGAAGTACCAGGCGCCTTCCAGGCTCTGCAGCGTCCTGTGCGGACCTGGCTGTGGACCTCGTTCTTACCCCTACTAGATGGAGAACACAGTCCCCAAGGCATGGATAAAGATGGGGTAGAAGAGTGAGGACAGACGGGGCTTCCTCTGAGCAGGGGGCTCCTTTGGGGACAGCAGGCATGAGGGTCTTAAGTGGCTACGGATGGATGAGGAGTTTTAAGTTAACAAATCACTATTACCCCTGACACCCCACCTGCTGCTCCCACACCATGCTGACCCCAGCTGTCTGCCTTCCTCCCTGTATGCACAGGGTGGAGGGCTGGAGGATGTCGGACAGAAGGTTCTTAACCAGGTTGCCCAGTTAACTCTAAATTCAGCCGTATTCTTTTTTTCTCACCCCTGCCTCCCTCGCTGTGGGTTCTACACCTCCCCTGCAGCCATGACCTCATCTCCCACTTGCATGGGGAAGTTTTGGGGGAGCTCCCAGCAACACCTTTGTGCCCCGAAGTCCTTCAGAGCATAGCGGCTGACCTTCTCTATACCTCAGGTCAAGCCTGGGTATCACCAGGTCCTCTCCTTGACCTCCAGTGGTCTCACAGCAGGGCCCTCCTGCCTAAACCGCCTCCCCTCCCAGTGAGACCTCTGTTCTGTGCTAGCTTCCTCCAGCCTCTCTCTGCACAGAGGTGTTCTTTGGGCCTGGGTCCATACCTACCCTTGAAGATGAAGTCTTGGGTCTCTCAACAGCACATCTGGACAATCCAGGGGTCTCCTCCAGATGTCTCCTTGGCTCAATTCCCCTGCCTGTGTGGCATCTCTGTTTGAGATTTCAACACAACAGGTCCCAAATAGAGCTGCAAGTTTCTCCTTCTCTGACCCAAGTCTGCTTCTGCAACCCCTGTGCCAGAAAAGGCATTGCTGCCTTCCAGAGACCCTCCAGCTTCCCACGAGACTGTGCTTCCTTTCTGGGTACTTGGTTCTCTGTCAAAGCCCCTCTGTCTCCGCCTACAGTGATCTTGTCCCTTTGCTATGCTGCTGGAGGGGCACATGACCTCATACTGGTCCTGGCATCTGTAAGGGTGCCATGGTCTTGTATTCAGCAGGCTGTCTTGGTGAGGGACCATGAGGGTGGACAGACCTGTACTGGTGAGAAGCAACGCGGAGCATCGGGGCACCAGTCCGGGCTGTGCTCTTTCTGAGATGAGCCCTGCACAGGCCGCTACCCCATGCTTTGGAAGACAAAATGTAATAGAAGAATAGAGGGTTTCTCTGTTGATGGGCAGGGTGTGGCTGGAGGGTTAAGTTTGAGAGCCCTTCGGGCCTAGAATGGCACTTGAAACTCCATGATGTATGGCTTCAGGTCTGCCTGGGGCAGACATGCCCCTGGGCCACCAAAACCACAATAAGGGAGACATTGCCTTACTTGGTCATTCTTGGGTGGAAGGGAAGAGAATTTCAGGGGAAGACATCATGTGTCATGTTGAATTAGCATAATAATTTCCTTTACCTTAAGGCTTGATTATGTTTAAGAGTAGTACAAACAATTACAAAAAGGATACATTAGCATGGTCAACACATGCTGACAAGTTCAACAGTTCAAAGCCAGGCAGGGTTTGAGTGAGCTGGAGACAGGCTCACACACCTGACTCCCTGCCTGCAGCGGGCTCTAATGGCTGTCCATCTATGCCATATGCCTGACCAGGCCACCTTCTACTGAGAAACTCCAGACGTTGTCAGGCTGGAGGCAGATGTGGGAACAGGGTTACAGCAGGGGAGTCCAGAGCTGTGTTTGCTGGACTCACTTGCAGTCAGGCTGAAATGTGCTCATGTGTGGCTATTAGAGAGTCTGTGTCCCCCAAGCTCGGAACGAGATCACCTCCCAAGGCAGGCAAGGACTCTGTAGGGATACGCGATATACCAGGCACTTCAAAGGAAATATTAGATGCCCCTCTAGTCCCATTGAGATTTGTGCTGCTTCCTTTTCGGGGTCCTGGGCAGCTTGCTTTCTGGGTTATTCTGTCGGGCTTTGTTGCTGTGGGCCTCTGCAGTATGAAGGAAGCTGGAAGTTTCGTGGGGAAGAAAGATCTCCATTGTTCCAGAAATGTCCCTGTGGCTCCCTTTCCTATTTAGTACCAGTGAAGTCACTGAGTGTCTGGGAGCTGTAAATAAGGCAGGCCAACCCAGTCCCTGTGGAAGGGTGGGCAGGGCATCCTGTAGTCAGTCCCCACCTCTTGGTGGAGTTGCTCAGACTGGATGGCCTTGCCGTTAAGACCTTGGAGCAGGGCAAGAGCTGCTGACATGTTAGTTTATTTGCTCAGGAAGTGGCGAGGGAGCATAGACTTCTTTAGCTGGCTCTGGTCTCGAGCGTGTGCCCCAGTGGAGAGCCGGTCCTCCTACAACAGTCTACAGCTGGCCTGGTGACAGGACCTCCTTGCTCAAGGCTCACAGCTCAAGGCTCACACAGTTCAAGGCTCACAGCTCGGATCGGGCACTCAGGGAGCTCTCGTTGGTTTTTCCTTCAAAGCTGGGAGGTGGGCCTGCCAGCCGTTTGCTGCAGAGCAAGTTGCACAAGGCGTGGCGGAACTTCTCAGCCACGAAGAAGTACATGACAGGGTCCAGGGCCCCGTTGAGGCTGGTGAGACACGAGGTGATGCGGTTCCCTAGGGCCAGGGCGCGCTGAGCAGAGCAGGACATCCCGCCGCCGCCGCCGCCGCCGCCGCCGCGGTAGTGAAGCACGTAGACTGAGCGGTGGATGTGGTAGGGCACAAAGCAGATGAGGAAGATGGCCAGAACCATAGCGATCATGCGGACAGCTTTGTTCTTGAGGTGCTTCTCTATGCGGGGGCCCTGGCGCAGGCTGCGGATGATCAGCAGGTAGCAGGTGACCGTGGTGATGAAAGGGAAGGTAAAAGCCACAGCCAGGGAGGCCAGGGCGTGATGGGAGGCCTTCTCCCGGTACAGCTGCAGGCAGACAACTGTGTGGTTGGTCTGCACCGTCTGGGGGCTCACTAGAAGTGGGGCCATAGCCACAGCCACCACCACCCACAGGAAGGCACAGGCCAGGTGGGCATATAGAGGTCTTCGGAGCTTGAGGGACTTGACTGGGTGCACGATGGCCAGGAACCGGTCGGCGCTGATGCAGGTGAGGAAGTAGATGCTGGCATACATATTGAGGTAGAAGAGGAAGCCGGTGAGCCGGCATGGGATTTCCCCAAATGGCCAGTGATTCCCGGAGAAGTGATAAACCAGCCGGGTAGGCAGGACCAGTACACAGGACAAGTCGGCCACAGCCAGGTGCATCAGGAACACGTTGGCCGGGGTGCCTGACTTGTGGTCCCATATGAAAAGCCACAGGGCCAGAGAATTGCCCACAAAGGCTAGGATGAAATCCAGAAGGTAGAAGCAAGCGAAGAGCATGTTCTCTAGTGGGGTCTCCTGTCCACATTGCTCAGAGTAAGCTAGGGAGGAGTTGTCAGTCAGACTCGGTGGGGCTGTCTCCAGGCCATTCATGGTGTGGCTAAAAGCAGAACAGCGGAACAGAGCTGGAGGGCATACAGAACCAGTTGTGGGATCCCAGGATGCACCCCAGGGTCAGAGGCAGGACCTCTGATGCCTTCATTGTCTCCTGTCACTAACTTGAGAGGAACGGAGCTATTTTAAGCTTCTCAGAGCTGCTGAGCTGCCAAGGGGAACTCCTGTGTCTGGGGGATTTTCTGCATCCTTTGGAGCTGACTGAGCCTCAGGCATTTTGAACCTCAATCTCAGTCCAAATCCAACTGAGGCTTGGTTTTCCCTGTGAGTAGGAGGGCCTGGGGCAATTTCTGGAAGACCCAGAACCGGGAAGTTCCTTTCTTCACTGTGCCTATCCTTCAGCTTAGAGGGTGGATGAGTTAGTACTGGAGGGAGGGGGAATCCAGTTTGATTGTCTGGGCTTCTGAGGACAGGGAGAGTCCTTATTTCCTTTTCTAACCCCACCCCAAGGCAGGGGTAGCATTGTGGAAGGGGTCCCTTAAGCCCCACTCCCCATGGGTGAGTAAGTAGGGTCTGTTGCTAAGAGCCAGGTACTTGGCACCCATCACTCTGAGTCCCAGGACCTCCCTGACCTGCTGGCCTGGTCTGCAAGGAGCAATATGTCACAACTTTTTGTCCCACCGTCTGGCTCCTCCCGCACTTGCTAGCAGGGCTGCATCGGGGCTGCACTGGGACATGCTTTCTGTCACGGCACCTGAGAAGCCCAGGATCTCTGGAGTTTTCCACACTTAGCTGGTCAACTCCATTTTGACCAGTTTTTCTGGGTGAGAGCTGGGTTTAGGAAACCTTTGCAGGACCTCAGACCAGCAGGGAGTCCCTTCCAAGCCGAGGTGTTCCACAGCCCAGGCTGGGGTATGAGGGAGTCCTGCATCTTCCAGGATCCAGTTTCACCTCTGGGAGCCTAGGTGACCCCGTGGCCAGAGCTGGGAGTGTGGTTTGTCACATTACCAACACTGGAGCTGCCCATTGGCTTTTGTGGGGACTTTGCCAGGACTGGCTACCTAACTTTGGGGGCTCAGAGTCAAATGAAAATGCATAACTCCTTGCTCAAACAGTAAGCATTTGGGTTGGGGATGTAGCTTAGCTGGTTGAATGCTTGCCCGGTACGCAGGAGGCCCTGGGTTTGACTCCTAGCACATAAACTGGGTGTGGCAGCGAGTGTGTAATCCCAACACTTGGAAGCCGGGCAAGAGGTCAGGGTCATCCTCCGTTATATAGAGAGTTCAAGACCAGCCTAAGCCATGACTTTAAAACATCATAATAATTCTAAAAAGTAAGAATTTCAGGATCACGGAAATGGTTGAACAACTCAGGGCCCTGTGTGACTGCAGGGTGTCTCCACCGTCACCTCCGCCCAGTCTCCCCGAGGCTCCCTGCCCCTTCCTGCCCACCCCTGCCCCTTACCTCTTGCAGATGACCCAGGAGGGCAAGGACGGGAGGCAGGCGAGCGGTGAGCCGGCCGTGGGTGGTGCTCCAGGTGGACTCCTTGTAGCCGTAGGAGGGAGGCCTGACTATTTAAGGAGAGCAAGAGAGCCCACAGCGCCTCGGAACCTGAAAAGCGGCTTCATTCCTGAGGGGTCCTTTGTGGGGTAGGCTGCTTTTCCAGCTGGGTCTGCTTCCACGGAGCACGTACTGAATATTCCAGTGTGTCCTCAGATTGTGCATACCCCCATCCCCCAGCCAGGCCACAGAGCACCACAGAGGCCAAGTGTGTGACTGTCCTGGGAGCCTGGGAGTGGGCAAGGGCTGGGCCGAGTGGGGGTCTTGGGCTGGAATTGACAGACACAACAGGACATTTCAGAAGGGTATGGTTTTCTACTAGTAGGGGGGTAGGGAGGGGTCAGCTACCATGGCAACGGGCCAGGATCCCAAGCTTACTGGTGGGGGTGGGGGTGGGGGGGGTGTTGTTATGCATGCCAGGGTTGGAGCTGAGGAGTCTTGGGCCAGATGAGAGGGGATTCTTTCAGACACTTGCTGTAGGGTCCTTGTGTCCTGTCCTGTATAATTAGGTCCCGTTTGGATGTGTGGAATAAATCATGGCCTTTATGTGGAACCCTGCACAGCTGCAGGCGCCTTATAAAGGGGGTGCTGTTTATGCTGTAGGGATGCAGCTCAGCCCAGCAGGCCTGGATTTTGCCTGGGAGGGCTTCTCAGCAGCGCACGGTCAGCAGGAGGGCCTCAGTGTCTCCCTGACCAAGGCTTGCTCCTTCTGGGGTGGCTCAAAGCTGGGATGCATTGGGCGTTGCCTGTGACTCATCGAAGTTCATCAAGGCTGATATCACTAACGGGGTAGCCATACAACACAGCTTAATCCGAATTCTTAGTTTCAAAAGACACTTCAGTTGAAGTGTTTGAAATTACGGTTGGGCATATAGCTCAGTCAGCACTCAGTGCTTGTCAAGTGTGAAGGCAAAACCCTGGGTTCCATCCTCAAGGCTGCAGAAACTGTGTGGTGGCTCACACCTGTGTTCCCTGCACTTGAGAAGCCGAGGCAGGAAGATGAGAGGTTCATGGTCATCTTCAGCTACCTACTGAGTTTGAAGCCAGCCTGAGTTACATGAGATCCTGTCTCAAAAACAAACAAGCGAAACATTTACAATTATGTGTGCCTAACTTCTGGAGAGGACCCCCTGCCCAAGGGTATCTTTCGTCAGTCTGTCTTTTCACACAGCACTGTGCAGCTGGGAATTTTGCCCCATTTGACAGTTGAGGAAGCCAGAGTTCAGAGAAGTGAGGTCATTCACCCTGTGGTAAACTCTAGCAAGTGGCAAAGCCTGGCTCTCCACCCTAGCACATGTCACTGCAGAAGTAAGACTTTACGTGTATTTGGTCCTTTCTGTTGGCCTGAGGCATTTTGATATGAGAATTCTTTTGGTGGGGTTTTTCAAGACAAGGTTTTTCTGTGTAGCCCTGGCTGTCCTGGAACTCACTCTGTAGACCAGGCTGGCCTCAAACTCACAGAGATCGCCTGCCTCTGCTTCCTGAGTGCTGGGATTAAAGGACATGAGAATCCTTAGGGGTGTGTGTGTGTGTGTGTGTGTGTGTGTGTGTGTGTGTGTGTGCGCGCGCGCGCGCGCGCGCGCGCGCTCATACATGTGTGTACATAAAGCAGGAAACCCAGCTGAGTGTCTCGGTGGTGACTTCATGAATCTCTAAAGCATCTTAGCACTGGGGAGGTGGAGACAGGGAGGTTGTCGGGGCTCTTTCGCCAGCTATGGTAGTCAGATTGGCAAGTTCTAAGCCAGGGGGAGCCCATGTCACTGAAAACAAGGTGAAGGGCTGGAGAGATGGCTCAGTAGTTAAGAGCACTTGCTGCTCTTCCAGAGGATCTGGGTTTTGTTTCTAGCACCTACGTTTGGGGTTTACAACTGCTTATAACTCTGGCTCCAAGGGCTCCAATACTTCTTCTGTCTTCCATGGGCATGCGTACACATGACATACACTCACAAACATATATGAGTAAAAAATCAAAATAATTTTGAAACTAGTAAGAAAAATATATAGGCTGGGAAGACAGCTCAGTAGTTAAGAGCGCTTGCTGCCCTTGCAGAGGACCTGGGTGCTCACTCACACTGGCTAGACACGGAATTGGCTGCCTTGAGCAGAGCATTCTTGGACTCACATACTAAGTTCATTTTTCTGAGGCGAATCCTTAGATGCTATCCACGTTTTTGTTGTTGTTGTTGTTTTGTTTTTCTTTTCTCAACAGGGTTTCTCTGGGTAGCGTTGGCTCGATTGGAACTCACTTTGTAGATCAGACTGACCTTGAACTCACAGAGATCTGCCTGCCTCTGTCTCCCTAGTGCTGGGATTAAAGGCATGCACTACCAATGCTTGGCAATGCCCAGCTTTTAAAAATAACTTACCAGCCGGGCGGTGGTGGCGCACGCCTTTAATCCCAGCACTCGGGAGGCAGAGGCAGGCGGATCTTTGTGAGTTCGAGGCCAGCCTGGTCTACAAGGTGAGTTCCAGGAAAGGCGCAAAGCTACACAGACAAACCCTGTCTCGAAAAACAAAACAAAACAAAAAAATAACTTACTATGGTTATTTAGCTATGTGGGTGTGTGTGTGCCGTGGCATGTGGTAGAAGTCAGAGGACAACTTATAAGAGTTGGGTCTCTCCTTCTACATGTGGAGCCTACAGATGTGGAACTCAGGTCATCAGGCTTGGTGGCAAGCACCTTTATCTGCTGAGCCACCTCAATGGCCCGTGTCCAATTTTTTGAAGTGTGGATTCTGGGGTTTGAACTCGGGACTTTATGCTTGCAAAACCAAGCCCTTCGTCAGCTGAACTATCTCTCTCGCCCTTGGGCGTGGTGATTTTGACACAGTGTCTCACGGTGTAGACAAGGCTAGCTCAAACTCACTGTCCTCCCGCCTTTGATCTGTGGCGTGAGAGCCACCATATCTTGCTACAGCTTTGAAGCATAGTTCTTCTGTGTTGGATGAATGCTGTATTGATTCTAAGGAGGGACCGCCAAATTTAGAAGGGCGCCATGGGGAATAAGGCCACGATTGTGGCAGAGACACAGGCAGAGAGGAGGAGCTGGCTAGAGTGGGTGCCTGGGCCAGGCGCCTGTGTCCGGGGCTGTTGTGTAAATGTCTTGGGTGAGGTCAGAGCACAGACGCCGGGGTGAAGATGGGTTCCAGGGATCACAGAAGTGAAGGCTCTAGCCACAGGCCACAGCTGCTGCCTGGGGTGGGGTAGGAGGAGCCCGGCTCACCTGTGTGTGGACACTGGCCCGGCGGGTCAGCTTCCGCTTGCCTGTTGTCACAGAGTTTTGTCCACGGCTACTTCTCAATGATGGGCATCTATGGTCCAGCAGAGGTACACCCGGTAGTTTAGCAAGTAGCAACAGGCACATTGCTTGGGCCTCTAGCACCATGCCAAGCTCCAAAGACAAGACCTAACTAAGGGCAAGTAGAGAGTAACGCTCTGTGGCATAACTCCAGACAACACAGAGGTAGCAGAGGATCCCCCTGACTCGGGGCTTCTTGAGTCAATCTCTGTGACAAGTCAGTGAAACAGGGTAATGGTGAGAACTGGGGAAACCATTCGGTTATGTTAGGCGAGCATGAGAACTTGAGGTCTGATGCCTGGCGCCCATCTAAAAGCCTGGCATGGGAGCATGCGTCTATTGCCCTAGCACTGGGGAGATGGGGCCAGGCAGATCCCTAGAGCACACTGGCTAATTTAGGCTAATTGGTGAGCTCCAGGTCCAGTGAGAAACCTGGTGTCAAAAAAAAAAAATAAGGAGAATAATTGAAGATTGGCCTGAGATTGACCTCTGACCTGCACACATGTGCACATGCCTGCACATACATCTGCATGCACAGGTACACAATACACACAAATATGTATACACCACACACACACACACACACACACACACACACACACACACACACACACACACACACTGAAAGAGCTAATGGTCAGTTGGCTGAGGAGGCTAGTGACAGGTGGGGGATTGCCCCTGTGGATTTAGGAGCCTGGGAAGGAGGGCCAGGTCTCAGCAGGATTACACTATTGGAGTGACCAGTGGAGAATGAGGATCAAGGAGCATTGGATGGGGGGTTTTGTGCATCTTTGCCTAGGGACCCTGAATCTAAACTCTTTGTCCCGTCAATGATGAGGAAACAGAACCTGTGTTGATTTCCTTCTCTGTTATGACCACAGCTGTTGCTCAGGGCGAGGAGCAGAATCAGAAATGACTGAAGTCCTCACAAAAAGGACACTGTGATGACAGTGGCTGGGTTCAGGGGCTGCCATGTGACACAGTTTTACTTGTGTCTCTGGGGACAGAAAGCGCTTGTGAGCACTGGGGCCCTTCTTCATCCGGCAGACTCCAAAGGAGGGGATGAAGGAACCCTGTATGGATTCGGCCACCCTGCCATGCACTGTGGTATTCTAAGGCTCACAGTCACTGTAGCTTGCACTAAAAGGCATGTGAAAAAGTAAAACATTTCGGTAAATGGCAGCTAAGTGTCTCTTCTGTATTACACAATGTGCTGGGCCCAGGAAACCTTGGAGAAGAAACATACTTCCCAAAGACAGGAAACACAGGCATTCTCGAGTATGTGTGTGGTTTCCAGCACATGGGTGCTGGGGTTCAAACTCAGGTCGTTAGGTTTGGTGGCAAGCGCCTTTCCCTGCTGAGCCATCTTACCTGCCCCTGTCTTTTGCAGAGTGTGGGAGGGCATCCCTTTCAGAGTCCTCACCTGTGCGTTTCCGTGTCTTGTGATAGGAAAACTTGCTCAAACGTGGGCTCATTCACTTTTAATTACCCAGATGTCACGGAGGCCGCAAGCAGGGCTCTAGACTCCCTTTTCCAGGACATGGCTGTTCTGGGAGGCGGTAGAGGGAGGATTGTCCTCTCGGACACGGCTCTTCCCTCCTGCAGGCACCTCTGCCGGCCTTGCCACAGCCGGGAGAAGGCCAAGAGCCTGGGCAAATTCATCTGCCAACGGTGTCACCTAGCCATCGATGAACAGGCCCTCATGTTCAAGAACGATCCCTACCACCCGGACCATTTCAGCTGTTCTCACTGTGGGTAGGTGCCCAGTCCTGGCCCTGTGTGTGGCAAAGACAATCACGGCTCTCACAGAGCAGGGCTGCTGGGATTCCCACCCAGGACAGAGGCAAACAAGGTTGGCACAGAGGGCGCTTAGTGTGTGAGGCAGAGAGCTTTCAGGGTAAAGGTGGGATCAGGTAGGAAATCCCTCTCTCCAGGGCTCTCTGTTCCCCTGGACTGCAGGACTCTGGTTGAGATATAATAGAGGAAAGAGTGGCGTGTGTAAAGTTGGTACTGGTGTTGAAAGAGGGGAGAAAGAGGAGAGAGAGAAGCTGACAATCTCCTACAGTCCCCTAGTATCCCTTCTGTCCTTGCCCCAGACACCCAGTCTGGTTTGGGGGGGTTGGGATGAGAAGAAACAGACCTTTCTCTCAAGAAACTAGCTGGACAGCACACAGGCATTTTCTGCAGGCCTGGGTGGGGATTCTGTGCCCTGGGGCCTGTCTGGGGTGCACACAGGAAGTCTCCAGAGATCAGAGCAAGCTGGCTCAGCCAGAGCAGGGGCCTCAGGCACAGGACCCGGGACCAGGGGTCGCAGTGGTCCTGCAGAAGGTCAGGGCTGCCCCTGAGGATACCCTGTGCTGTCTTCTAGGAAGGAGCTGACCTCCGAGGCCCGAGAGCTGAAGGGGGAGCTCTACTGCTTGCCTTGCCATGACAAGATGGGTGTCCCCATCTGTGGGGCCTGCCGCCGGCCAATTGAGGGCCGGGTGGTCAACGCACTGGGCAAGCAGTGGCATGTGGAGGTAAGCCTGTGAGCGGAATACAGATTCACGTGAAGAAGTGGCCCGGTTAACGGTCTGTCTGAACCTCATCCCAGGCCATGCCCTGGCCGGTCCCCTGTGAACACGTTTCTCTGAGGGCAACCTGTCCCTTGTTCTGGACAGGACCTCTATGGGAGCTAGGAGACTAGAGCCCACAGGCCATGGTCAGACAACCACACTCACCTTACCTCTTACCTCCCTTTGCAATCTGGAAGATCCTAGAGTCAGGTGTTAGGCACAGTCTGCCCAGAGCAACTTGTGGGGTGTGGACGAAAGGACCTGTTGGGTACACACCCCACACAGACAGAGAGCTGGTGGGCTCGTGAGTCAGCTCTTGCCCCCTCCCTGAGCACGAACAAACTTGGAAAGAACACTTGCTCCTCCTGTGGCCTGGCCATCTCTATGTCCATAAGCAGTGCTCAGGGGGCCTACTGAAAAAGGCTATGGGATGTGCTGCCCTGTCTTTGGGTATGGTGTGTCCTCACACACTCAAAAGGACAGTAGGTGGTTCTTAGACTCTCTGGGCTTGTGTGTGTGTGTGTGTGTGTGTGTGTGTGTGTGTGTGTGTGTGTGTGTGTGTGGCACAGGAGGTACCTACCAATACCAGGGCAGCTCCACCTATGTGGGCACGTGGTCTGTTTGCCAAGCAGGATCCCGGTGACCTAGGATATCGTTGTGATATGTTCAAGGACAAGGAGGAGGCTGGCAGTGTAGCTCAGATGGTAGAGTACTTGCATTATGTACACCAAGACCCGAGTTCAGTCCCCAGTACTGTGTCAAGGCAGGCATGGTGGAGCATCAGAAGTTCAATGTCACCCTTGACTACACAGTGGGTTTGAAAACATCCCGGGCTGCCTGAGACCTCGCCTTGAGAAAAGTAAAAACAGAAGGGTCAGTGGGTCCCTACAGCATCCATTATGGGTGCCAGTTCTTCTGCCCGGCTGTGAGCCTCGCCCCCTTCCCCCGTCCTCTGGGGTCCCTGGGGCAGCTCTGGTGTTGCTCAGCCATTCCTTCTTTCCTTCAGCACTTTGTCTGTGCCAAGTGCGAGAAGCCATTCCTGGGGCACAGGCACTACGAGAAGAAGGGTCTAGCCTACTGTGAGACCCACTATAACCAGGTACGGCCTGGGATGGATCCTGAAAAGACCCGGGGCTGGAGGGTGGTCAGGGGCCTCAGGACCCAGGGCTGGAGGGTGGTCGGGGGCCTTAGAAGACGGGGCTGGAGGGTTGTCGGGGCCTCAGGACCCAGGGCTGGAGGGTGGTCGGGGGCCTCAGGACCCAGGGCTGGAGGGTGGTCAGGGGCCTCAGGACCCAGGGCTGGACGGTGGTCGGGGCCTCAGGACCCAAGGCTGGAGGGTTGTCGGGGGCCTCAGGACCCAGGGCTGGAGGGTTGTCAGGGGCCTCAGGACCCAGGGCTGGAGGGTGGTCAGGGGCCTCAGGACCCAGGGCTGGAGGGTTGTCAGGGGCCTCAGGACCTTGAGAGAGCAGGAGTAGGGCTGTGATCAGACATCTCCATGTCCCTGTTGGAGAAGGTCCTGGGAAAGGCTATGGGCTCTGAGGGACAGTGTGTCCTCACATGCTGAAAAGCACAGCAAGATGCTTCCTAGGGTCTCTGGGCTTCTGGGTTTTCCTCTTATATGAGTGGGGGTGCTGCAGGCACCCCAGAGTCCACTGTGTGCACCAGAAGTCAGGCTTGGGTCCTGGCTTAGAGTCTTGAAGCCCGTGTGTAAGACATGTGAACAGCTGTCTGGATAGTGTCTTGATTTGATAGAATGCCATTGTGGCCCCAGAGGCTGATGGGATGAGGTCCCACCCTGGCCCTCAGTCTTGCAGGAGGACTTCAGTAGGATGCATCGATGGGGAGCAATGGGAGCTTTGGGGAGCAATGTCTCAACCTGTGGCCCTTCCCGGGGAGTGCTTCTAGCGGGCTGGGCGTCCTCAGAAAGGACTCAGGGGGTTGTTATGCTTGTGGGCGGCACTGAGGGCTTGCTTTGTCCACAGCTCTTTGGGGATGTCTGCTACAACTGCAGTCACGTGATTGAGGGTGATGGTGAGGCCTCTGTTCCCAAACCCCTTCCTCCCTTGCTTTCTCCTGGTGGTGGGAGGGGCTGGTGGGGTGGTGGTGGGTGGGAGGGGTCGTGGGTTGGGGGGATGGTGGTGGTGGTGGTGGGTGGGTGGAGGGGAGGTTGTCCCACAGCTGCAGGTCCATCTGGCTCTGGTTTTGCACAGCTGGGCCTGCAGCTGGCTTGGGTGGGGCTTGCTAATCCCACATCTGGCCCCACAGTGGTGTCAGCCCTCGGCAAAGCCTGGTGCGTGAACTGCTTCTCCTGTTCCACCTGCAGCATGAAGCTCACTCTGAAGTGAGTAGTGGTGGGGGGGCACTTTGCAGCCCTGACTTTCCAGCCTGTTTTCCCTGAACTTCCGGCGGCGTCAGGCAAGCCCTGGGCGTGTGCGAGGCAGGGCCAGGCCAGGCAGATGAGGGAGACCAGGGATCCCAGAGAGCGATGAAGGACGCAGTTACACGCTTACAAGAACCCTGGGCTTTGGTGGAGGACATTCTGGCTCAGGGAACAGTATATGTAAAGGCAAGCTGTCTGGTGGCTGGCTCTCTCCTGAAGACTAGAAGGGTATGGGGTGACTGGAACTGTGAGGTGAGGTGGGCTCAAGCTTCCAAGAGCAGCAGAGAGCCAAAGAGTGTTCTGGAGAGAAGCCTCTATGAGGGAAGGGAGACTAGAGGTTCATCTCCTCTTCCCCAGTGCCCTTTGGCTAACATCTTACCCCGGGGCCTGGTTTGCTGGCTATGGCAGGCTGGGGTGAGAGGGCAGAGGACTGGCAGCGGAGGGAATCTTGCTCTGCCTCTGGCGACTGTCTGGGGTCAGGGTGGGTAGGGCACAGACTGCTGGGGTTTTCTGTCTGCAGGAACAAGTTTGTGGAGTTCGATATGAAGCCTGTGTGTAAAAGGTGCTATGAAAGGTTCCCCCTGGAGCTGAAGAAGAGGCTGAAGAAGCTGTCTGACATGACCTCACGCAAGGCCCAGCCCAAGTCTGTGGACATCAACTCCGTCTGAAGGTCCTCGGCCTCCATTCGCCTGCCTGCTGAACCTTTGCCCTCCCCCTCCTCCCCCAATTCCTGCTGGCTGCCTCCCCCTTCCACTCCATCCCAGGCCCCTCCCTCTGGGATGTCACCCTTTCTGTCCCCAGTCTACCTTGGGCTATGTAGTACTTTCTTCTATTGCTGAGACCTGGCCCAGCCTCATAGGCATTTCCTCCTATACCCACAACCTCCAGGGACAGGAACCAACTGGGGTCAGGATTATCTGCCATTTGCTCGGCCCAAAGATCCCAGCCTGACACCGGTCCTTTCCGTTCTCCTGGGAGAGCTTCAGTCTCAGAGAGACCCTTGGGCTTGGCTGGGAAGCTGTCCCAGCCCTAGGGCCAGCACCATGCACATGGAGGCTTCTGGAGTGGGGGTGGGGCGGCCCTCCAGTTATTCAACCACATTATGTCCGTGTGTGCTCACACTGCATCAGCGAATCCAGCCACCTCTGGGATGAACCAGCTGGAGGGCTGAGATGCCCATTTCCTTCACTACTCAGGAGGAGACCTTGCAGAAAGCTTCTGGGTTGCCCACCAAGGCCGGGGTCCCACTTCCAGGGGGCACATTGCCTAAGCCAGCTCAGACCTGCAAGGGATCATCACATACTTGCACAATGAAGGCTGATTTGCACACTGGGAGTGCCTGTGTGATTTGTGGGAGGGATGGAGGAGGTGGTGTAGAGCTGCCCCTGCTGGGGATGATCAACACTCAGAGACGACCCCCTCTCCCCTAGACAGGCAAACCAGAGAGTTTCAGGTTTCCCAGGTTGGCTGCCACCAGGATTTATAAACGAAACCAGCCAGGACTCCTCAGGCACGGTGGCAGCGGCCGGCCATGTCAGCCAACTTGGTCAGTGTATGGTGGTGGTGGTGGTGTGTCTTAGAGCCTGTCAGTTGGACAGGTCTCCAAAGCCCTGTGTACTGACATTGACGTGTGCTTTCCACCTGGCCTTCCTGGGAGCACAGCAGGCATCCTTGGTGACCCACAAGGAAGGAAAAAAAGCCTGTGCAGAGGGCCCAGGAAGCAAGGTCTCCAGGGACACCCTCTCCCCAGGCTGAGAACAAGAAAGAAGAGAGAGAGGTGGAGGGAGTGGAGGGGGGGCGGTTGTGGAAGAAGGAGGAAAAGAAGATGAAGTCATGCCTGGAGAGTATGGTTGTCGTCTGGGGCAGGGGACCAGATCCCACATTTATTTACCCCAGGGACTCTTGAGGAGTGAGGGATGAGAGACTTAGGTAGAAATAAAGAGGGGAGAGAAACAGAGAGAAACACAGGATCCAGCCTCGAGTGGGCCTGGATCCTTATCAGTCGGCCCAGAACTTTATTCCAAAGGGCTTTTTATAACAATGTCAAAGAACCTCCCCCTAGCCAGGTACAGCCAAGTGTAGACCCTTCCAAACAGCTGGTACTCAGGCCTGTGATCAAATCATCCTCTCATGCCGTCCTGCTGGGTAAAGGCACTAGGAAGCCTAGATGGGCTCCCACAATCTGGTTTTGGGAAGAGTCACGGTACCCTTTGCTTTATCTGGATTAGACCCTCTGGTGGGTAGAGAGCCGCCCCCACCCCCAGATTGGAGGCTGCCCGCCTGGCACCCACCCTTCCCCTCAGAGACACACACTCCCTCCTGTTGGGTGAATTTTTATTGTGAATTCAGGGGGGGGCTGCCAATCACCTGCCAGGAGGCTTGAGACCTTCCTTGGCCTCTGCAGTGAACACCCGGGGAGGGGGTGGGGGTGGTGATCTGGTGTGCTGAGAAGGGGATGGAAGCCCGGCCTGGAGGGCTGTGGGCAGATGGGACCTGTTAGGGGTTGGCCAGGGCGGGGGCCCTGGAGCCTCGCTGTTTGTTCACCGCACTCATGAGCTGCTGGACGTATGAGGTCAGCAGGTCATCCATCTTGTAGCCCTAGACAGGACAGGGTGGGGTCAGAGGCTGTGGGTGCAGAGAGAGCATTGGGGCAACGTGGTGGAACAGAAGGAGAGGAGGAACGCAAGCTCCCCCGTGCTGGGCTTTGCTTGCTCTGGTGGGGCTGAGTCCCACCCTCTCCCCAGAGGGAGCTGGGATGGTCCAGAGTCAGCTTAGTCTTTGGACGTGACCGCTGGCTGCCAGCCTTGGGGATGCATCTAACCTCCCCGCAGGCCTTGGCTGGCTTCGCCTGGTCCTGGGCAAGCACTCTCTCTTGGTGAGTAACTTCCAGGTGGAGAGGGGTCATGAGAACACACCAGCATCTCCAGGCGCTGCGTAGGGGTGGGGGGTGGGGCCCGTGCTCACCAGAGAGGTCTCGCACAGCAGCCGGCTGCCCTGGCCCAGGCTGCCCAGGGCCATGTGGAAGTACGTGCTGCCGCTACTCCAGCTGGAGATCTTGGTGAAAGGGTAGGTGTTCAGCAGTTCCTGGGGACAGAGAGGCCATTGGCAGGAGGCCAGGCTTCAGGGGAGGGGCAGGCAGGAAGGCAGGCATCCCACCCCAGACTGGGTGACGGCGGTGCTGCGGGCACAGCCCCTGGTGCTCTACCTTGGTCTTGGGGTGGATGAGTAGCAACCCATGTCTGTTGATGGCGATGAGGAGGATGTCTGGGTAGGAAGGCTCAGAGGTTTGCTGCGGAGGGAGAAGGCACAATGGTCGCAGACAAGCCTAGGGGGTCAGGGGACCACTTTCTATTCGTATGTGTGTTCATGTGTATACAGGGTGGGTATACGTGTGCATGTGCGTGGTCTGTGCACACGTGTGCCTGTGTGTGGAGGTCAGAGGTCAATCGTGGGTGTCATTCCTCAGGGTGCCATTGTTTTTTAAACATGTATTTATTTGCGTGTGTCTGCATTGGCACATGTGTGAGTGGAGGTCAGTGGACAGTTGTGGGAGTCAATTCCCTCTTTCCACCATGTGGGGTCCTAGGAATTGAACTCAGGTCATCAGACTTGGGTGACAATTGCCTTAACCCACAGAGCCATCTCACTGGCTGTTTGTATGTAAGTATATATGTATGTATATATGTATTGTATGTGTGTGTGTTTGTATGTATATATGTTTGCGACATGGTCTCTCACAGTCCTGGAGCTCATCGAGTAGGCTAGGCCGGCTGGCCAGGGAATCCTGGGGGTCCCCTTCTCCGTCCCCCCAGCACTAGGGTTACTAGCAGGCAGCAGCATGGCCAGCTTTGTTATTGTTGTGTTTCGACATGAGTCCTGAGGATCAAACTCAGGTCCTTATGTTGGCAAGGCCAACACTTTGTCAACGGAGACATCTCCTCAGCTCCTGGGTAGCCACTTTTTAAATGCTCACTAGGGCTACAGTTAGAACACACACGCTCTGTCGTAAGCACTGAGGACTCCGCTGAATGGGGCCTGGATGGCAGCAGGGGCTGGGTGTGGATCAAGGCCTACCTTCACCTCAAAGAAGGAAGACCCAAAGGTAGGCCAGCGGTAGATCCACTTCAGGAAGTCCACCTTGGCCTCTGCCACTGTCTTGTGTTTGTGCTTGTCACATTCCACAAGGAGGCTCTGATGGAAAAGAGGGTCACTGAGGACCTGGGCCGGCTGCCCTGACCAGATGGGGCCCTCCATATAGGGCGTGGACACCCAGGGGCTCTGAGACTCAGGCCAAAGCAATGCCCACCTATCTGGAAATCCTGACAGGGCAGGGAAAGCCCACGTGCAGGCAGCCCACGTCTGAAGCCAACCAGCCCGCCCAACCCAGTCAGACCCTGTCAAGGACCTTTTTCCACTCCTCTGAGGACATCAGTCGCGTGAGGTTCTGAGGCACCAGTTCCTTCAGGATTTTTGAGACACTAGCCAGTTGAGACCTGTCACTGCCAAACTGGACTCTATAGATGAGGCCTGCCAGGTGGATAACGTCTTCCCGGGAGCACTTGTGGAACCCTCGAAGGTACTTGGGTAGCTCCTGAGTGGCAGACACACTGGGTCTTAGGTGACAGGACCCTGGAGTGGGCAAAGGCTGAGGACCTCGGGGGAGAGTTTCTGGCCAGCAGAGAGACCTAAGTGAGGGCTCCCTGGCATTGTGCTGTGGTGGACGTGATGTTGTCCTTCCAAGCTGCAAGCTGGTGTGTCAAGTTCAGCCTTCTGCGTGCTCTCCCTCCCCAGCTCACACTGTAGACCTTGTCCCCAGAACCCTCAGGGTCTTGGCCTGCTCACCTCATTGCAAGTGCCTAGGGCAAGAGAGTTCCTCCCTGCCCCCTTCCTCTCCCATGTCTCAGGACAGATTTGGGATAGGATGGCAATGGCCCTTGTGACTTCAAGAGGGCCGCCTGATGGGTACCTGGTGGTAGTGGAGTATGGTGTCTGCGTTCACATCCTTCCCGGGGGTCACGTTGAGCCACAGTTTCCGCATGAACAACACCTGGTAGGGAAGTGTCATGGTGGCCCCTGGAAGAGGGGTGGCAGTGGGCACTGAGCCTATCCCAGCAGGCTCCAGAGACTCAGTCCTGAAGAGAACACACCTAGCCTTCATGACTCTTGGCCTGGAAGGCCTGTGCCCTTCCTCTCCCTGGCTCCTGACTCATCTTCATCAAGCAGTGTAGGGTTGCCTCCAGAAATGTCCCTGGGCCCCCACCCCCACTGCCATGAGGCGGGGCTCTGGGGTACCTCTCTCACCCTGCCGGGAGTTAGCCATTTGCATGTCTAGGGAACATGGGGGTGAGGGAGAGTAGATGGATGGGTCCGGAACCATGCCAGTGATTCAGCAAGCAGCCACCCCCTCCACAGAGATGCCCCTCACCTTCTTTCTGAGGCCTGTTCTTCTTCACCCAGTCAGATACCTGCCTCAAGCTGTCAAAAAAGAAGTCTCCCTCCTTCAGGCTGATGACCTGAGGGAAGAGGCAGAGGCAGGTATGGCGGCTTCTGGAGCGTATAATCCGGGGAGACCCAGTGGAGCTGGATCTAGAAACTCTGTGTTTTGGCTGGGTGGGCTAGGGGCTCACTGGGGTTGACCAGCAGGGGGTGGGACCGCAAGACTCCACCCCGTTCATCCCCATAGCCCCAACTGTGCACTGAAGGGCATGGCTAGCAGTGTTCTGGGCAGGCTGAGGTCTGCTGGTCACGGGAGGCCTCCTCAGGCAAGAGGATCTTGCTCTACTCCTTGGCCTACCAAGCTGCTCACCTTGTCTGTGATCTTGATGAAGAGACTGCAGCCATCTAAGGAGGCCAGCTGCAGCCGAGTGGCGATGCTCTCACATAGGTCTCTCACCCGGCTGTTGCTGCCTACCTCCATTGTCTGCACAGAGAGATAGCAGGTGAGGCCCAGGTCCCAGCTTGGGCAAGAAGGCTTCCCAAACCACTGCTCTGGGGTATGTCCTCCTGTACGTGTGTGCGTGCGCGTGTGTGTGTTTGTGTGTGAGAGAGTGTGTTCGTGCGTGCATGTGTATGTGTGTGTGCGCGCGCGCATATCCATGTTCATATGGGTATGTGCACATGTGGGTGTATGTGCATTTGTGTACATATGATTGTGAAGGCCAGGGGTGAACCTCAGGTGTCTTTTTTTCCTTCCTTCTTTCCTTCCTTCCTTCCTTCCTTCCTTCCTTCCTTCCTTCCTTCCTTCCTTCCTTCCTTCTTTCCTTCCTTCTTTCCTCCCTCCCTCCCTCCCTCTCTCCCTCCCTCCTTTCCTCCCTTCCTTTCTTCCTTTCTTTTGA